TATTCTGTTTTTTTAGGTTTGTATGGGGTCTATTGTATTTTTTTTATTTCCTTTTGTTTATTTTGTATTTTTATTTATTTTTGTTTTGTATGGGATCTATTTGTATTTTTTTATTTCCTTTTTTATTTACTTTTTTAGTTCTTTTTTACGTTTTTTTTTTTTTTTTTTTTTTTGCCCTGCGAGCTCCGGTGATTACATTATTATTCACTCTGAATAATGGATTGTTCATTCTCAACGCTAATCACTTGCTATGCGTGTCAGCCCCCCTCTCCCCCCCCTCCCCCTCCCCTCTCCCCCCCCCCCTCCCCCTCCAACTGGTGTAATTTTGCGTAACCGTGTCATGGCGACCGCGTGGCTCCCTCTTGTGGCAATTTTTATCCGTTCGTCGGCGAAGGTCGGGAGGAGGTTCGCGAATGTGCGTGGAAAGAGAGAGACGGTATGACTTCGTTTTTACACTCTTTTTTTTTTGTCTCTTCTCTTCTGTTCGGATTGCTTCAGCGCTCAATCTAGTTTGTTTCTTTTTTCTTCTTTCCTTTTTTTTTTTTTTTTTTTTTTTTTCTTCTTACGCTTTTCTTCTCGGTCTTCTTGTTCTTATTCTTGTTGTTGTTGTTGTTGTTTCTCGTTCTTCTTCTTCTCCTTCTTCTTGTTTCTCCTCGTTCTTCTTCTTCTCCTTCTTCTTGTTTCCCATCTCCTCGCTTCTTTCTTCTCCTTCTTCTCCTCCTCCTTGTTCTCCTTCTTCTCCTCTCCTTTCTTCTTCTTGATTATTATTATTATTATTATTCTCCTCCTTCTCGTTCTTCTCCTCCTTCATCTCTTCTCCTTCTTCTTCTTTTTAGAACCTCCTAAACTAGAATTCTTAGCTTGGGTGTGTGGTGGAGGGTCACGTGGCAACCGGGGGGCGAGAAGGGGGGGGAGGGGTCGGAGAACGATTGACATTCGGGAGAGCAACAGGTCGGGGGTGGGGGGTGGGGGGGGAGCAGTCAGTCATCCGCTGGAGGAGGGTGCGAGGATGGGGGGGGGGGTCTCATGACGCTGCGTGGATTTGACTTCAGTTTGGGGGTGGTTATTTCGGCGGCGAGGAGGAGGTGGGGGTGAGGGAGATGGTGGAGAGGGAGGAGGGTGGGTGAGGGAGCGGGTGAGGGAGGAGGTGAGGGTGGGAGATAGTGGAGAGGAGTGAGGAGGAGGGTGAGGGAGATGGTGGAGGATGAGGGAGAGGGAGAGGAAGGAGATGAAGTGAGGAGGGAGGGTGAGGGAGATGGTGGAGAGGAGTGTGAGGAGGAGGGTGAGGAGATGGTGGAGGTGAGGGAGAGAGGGAGGTGAGGGAAATGAAGAGGAAGGAGGGTGAGGGAGATGGAGATGGTGGAGCGGAGGTGAGGGTGAGGGCGACGATGGAGCGAAAGAAGGGTCAAGCGATGAAACGAAGTGAAGGTGAAGACGATGAAGGGCAAGGCAGGGCAGGGCAGGGCAGGGCGAGAAGGGCAGGGCAGGACGGTAGGGCAAGGCAGGGCAGGTAGGGAAGGCAGGGCAGGGC